CAATGGCAATGGAAAAGGTTACCGTTTGGTTTGTGTAATGCTCCTGCCACATTTACCCGCTTAATGCAAATGGTGTTCACAGGTATTTTATGGAAAACTGTGATCATATATTTAGATGATATTATCTGTCATTCTAAAAGTTTTGACACACAACTTCCAAAAAATTCCTTTTTATTTACTTCCGCCCATTGTTTTCTCGTTTAGGGCACACGCATTTTTTTAATGGGGACCATATGCCGCTTTTCATGGAATGGCACGGAATTGTCACTTTGAAGGTTCCATGATAACCGCCATATAAACACATCTGCGGATGTTTCAAAATTCTAAATTTTACCAGGTCATGTTAAATGTTGAATTCTGCTTAAGCCGGTGCTAGGGGGCGTGGACGGTAACTTGCACTTTCCAGTACCGTCCATGAACAGGCTCAATCAAACCGAGCCTGCAACATTTTCAATTTTGCCGTGTTGGGCTTTCTTTAGGGATTCTGTATTTATCTATTTTATGATCACATCCGTGTTATTTGTGCCGTGTGGCGGCTGTAAAAGGTCTCCCAGTACATTTAATCAATGATGTTATATTTTCGATCCTTGAAGATCGTTCAGCACGACAGTATTGTTGTGCTTGAGGTATTTTTAGTTTCAAATTTTGGGCATTTTCCACTTGAGTGGTTCCAATATTCCTACTTGAATAATGTTGAATCACCCTTAGGATATGTTGCCTGCTTTTTAAATTTGTCTTTTGACGTCTAATCTGTGATACGCAGGTTTCATAACCTCTGATTCCCTTTCAAAATTCCATTTTATTTAGTTCCGCCCATTGTTTTCTCGTTTAGGGCACACGCATTTTTTACTTGGGGACCATATGCCGCTTTTCATGGAATGGCACTAACGTGTCACATTGAAGGTTCCATGATAACCGCCATATGAACACATCTGCGGATGTTTCAAAATTCTAAATTTTACCAGCTCAATCAAACCGAGCCTGCAACATTTTCAATTTTGCCGTGTTGGGCTTTCTTTAGGGATTCTGTATTTATCTATTTTATGATCACATCCGTGTTATTTGTGCCGTTTGGCGGCTGTAAAAGAACTCCCAGTACATTTAATCAATGATGTTATATTTTCGATCCTTGAAGATCGTTCAGCACGACAGTATTGTTGTGCTTGTGGTATTTTTAGTTTCAAATTTTCGGCATTTTCCACTTGGGTGGTTCCAATATTCCTACTTGAATAATGTTGAATCACCCTTAGGATATGTTGCCTGCTTTTTAAATTTGTCTTTTGACGTCTAATCTGTGATACGCAGGCTTCATAACCTCTGATACCCTTTCAAAATTCCATTTTATTTAGTTCCGCCCATTGTTTTCTCGTTTAGGGCACACGCATTTTTTACTTGGGGACCATATGCCGCTTTTCATGGAATGGCACAAACGTGTCACATTGAAGGTTCCATGATAACCGCCATATGAACATATCTGCGGATGTTTCAAAATTCTTAATTTTACCAGCTCAATCAAACCGAGCCTGCAACATTTTCAATTTTGCTGTGTTGGGCTTTCTTTAGGGATTCTGTATTTATCTATTTTATGATCACATCCGTGTTATTTGTGCCGTGTGGCGGCTGTAAAAGGACTCCCCGTACATTTAATCAATGATGTTATATTTTCGATCCTTGAAGATCGTTCAGCACGACAGTATTGTTGTGCTTGTGGTATTTTTAGTTTCAACTTTTCGGCATTTTCCACTTGGGTGGTTCCATTATTCCTACTTGAATAATGTTGAATCACCCTTAGGATATGTTGCCTGCTTTTTAAATTTGTCTTTTGACGTCTAATCTGTGATACGCAGGCTTCATAACCTCTGATCCCCTTTCAAAATTCCTTTTTATTTAGTTCCGCCCATTGTTTTCTCGTTTAGGGCAAACGCATTTTTTACTTGGGGACCATATGCCGCTTTTCATGGAATGGCACGGAAGTGTCACATTGAAGGTTCCATGATAACCGCCATATGAACACATCTGCGGATGTTTCAAAATTCTAAATTTTACCAGGTCATGTTAAATGTTGAATTCTGCTTACGCCGGTGCTAGGGGGCGTGGACGGTAACTTGCACTTTCCAGTACCGTCCATGAACAGGCTCAATCAAACCGAGCCTGCAACATTTTCAATTTTGCCGTGTTGGGCTTTCTTTAGGGATTCTGTATTTATCTATTTTGTAGTTTGGAAGTTGTATTTCAAAGGTTAACAGATGCAAACTTGAAATTAAATCCTAAAAAGTGCATACTTTTCCAGAAAGAGGTTACATTTCTAGGCCATACTATAAGTGAAAATGGTGTAGGTACTTCTCCAAAGAAAATTCAAGCAATAAAAGATTGGCCCACCCCTAGAAATGCCAAAGAAGCTAGAAGCTTTGTTTCTTTAGCAAGTTATTACAGGTCTTATGTATATCAGTTTGCTAAAATTGCTAAACCATTACATGAATTAGCTGAAAATGGTAGAAAGTTTATTTGGACACCTGAATGTGATAGGTCATTTCATGAACTTAAAGAGGCTTTGACAAATGCTCCTATATTAGCATTTCCAACAGAAACTGATCAATTTATTCTTGATTGTGACGCATCTCTCTCAGCACAAGGAATGGTTTTATCACAATGCATTGATGGAAAAGAAAAGGTTATTGGTTATTACAGTAAATGTTTTACAAAAACTGAGAGGCGTTATTGTGTTACCAGAAGAGAACTTCTTTCTATTATAAATGGAATTAAATTTTTTCATCATTATATCTATGGTAGACATGTGATAATAAGAACAGATCACTCAAGCTTAAAATGGTTGTTAAATTTTAAAAATGTTGAGGGTCAATTGGCAAGATGGTTAACTTTTCTAAGTGCTTATGATTTTACAATTGTACATAGAAGTGGTAAAGTACATGCAAATGCTGATGCATTGTCAAGACGCCCTTGTCTAGAAGAGAATTGTAGATATTGTTCTAGGGTAGAAGAGGCACATAGTAAAATTTCTATGGTGTCTAGTGTACAGATTACAGATAATGATAAAATAGATTCAAATATGGTATTTAGTGATGAAATTTGTTCTAAGGGAGACAACTCAGTGTTGACTGATACTGGTACTTGTAGCATATTTATCTCCCTTGCCTTGTTATTTATATTTGTCCTTGTACATGGAATTCTTCTATCAAATTCTTGTATATGGATGCTGATGTTAGGTCTTGTTTGCTGGTTTGATTATTTTCATCCTGATGAATCTAAAATGAAAGGAAAGTTTCAGAATAAAGATACATGTAGTGAAAAATGTTTGAAACAAAATACAGGTGGTGTTAGTCATATTATAAAGGGGGTTATTTCAGAAAATTGTTCTGTTAGCCATAATATTGACAAAAGTTCATCATCGAAATTTGATTTAAATGGTTTTTCACATAGTAAAGATACATTACCATCAAAAGTAGATGTTGCTAGTATATCTGTGGTAAAAGATACTTATCAAAAAGATAAAGATAATATTTTGATAGGATCCATTGATGTACCTAGTACAAGTCAGGGAAATGATAAAAATGATGTTCAGTGTATATCTGGTATAAATGATGTCAATTTAACATTACAAGATTTTGATTTGGTAGCTATACAAGATGCTGACTCAAATATCAAATTGATAAAAGATTTTATAACAAATGGAATAAAACCAGATTGGCAAGAAATTTCTAAATATGATACTGAGTTGAAATATTACTGGGCTAGACTTGATTCAATGATTATTAAGAACAATATTTTGTACAGAAAATGGGAAAGTGATGATGGTTCTACTTTTAAATTACTTCTTGTTATTCCTAGGTCACATAGAGAACTTGTTTTAAAACAGTTACATGATGGAAAATCTGGAGCTCATTTAGGTGTTAAGAAAACTTTACATAAAGTAAGAGAAAGATATTTTTGGTTCGCACTTCGAAAAGATGTAGAAAATTGGAGTAAGAAATGTGATGTATGTAATAGTCGCAGAGGTACATTGCGAGCATCAAAGGCTCCACTCCAAACATATAATGTAGGCTCACCTAATGAAAGGATTGCAATAGATTTTATGGGTCCTTTTGTTAAAACCAATAAAGGGAATAAATATCTTATGGTTGTTGGAGATTTGTTTAGTAAATGGACAGAGTGTTATCCAATTGAAAATTTAGAAGCTTGTACTGTTGCTAATGTTTTAGTAGATAGATATATTAGTCACTGGGGTTGTCCATTGATATGTCATACTGATCAAGGAAAAACCTTTAAATTTAAGTTGATCTTAGAAATGTGCAAATTACTAGGCATAGAGAAGACACGCTCTTCTGTTTTTCACCCACATGGAAATGGTTTTAAAGAGAAACAAATTTCTACTATAATTAACATGCTTAAAATATGAAAAACAAGATCAACAAGGAAAGGCGGCGTTCAATGAACCTTAAACCTTATGTCTCATCCAATCAAAAAGACTGGGATGAACATGTAGATCTTGTTATGATGGCTTATAGATCTTCTATTCAGTCGTCAACTGGTTATACTCCATCTATGATGCACATCGGAAGAGAAATACGATTGCCTGTAGATATGATATTTGGTACTCCAGAAATTGATATGGCTGAAAAAGAACAAAACAAAACAAAATTTATTGTAAATCTTGAGAAACAGATAAATAGAGTACATGAAATAGCTCGCAAGAATCTTGATATTGCAAGTCAGAGTATGAAAACACATTATAATGTTAATCTAAAATTCAATTCTTTTAAATCTGGAGATAATGTTTGGTATTATTATCCAATCAGGAGAAAAGGATTAAGTCCAAAATTTCAAAGGCCTTGGATAGGTCCATGTAGAGTTATTGATAAAATAAATGATGTTTTATATAGAATAAAAACAAGTCCACATGCCAAAACAAAAATTGTACATCATGATAAACTTAAGCTGTATACTGGTAGAAATGATTAAACTGAAGGTTGATGTAAAATGATAATAATAATACATTGTAATAATAATAATAATAATAATAAAATAAATAAATTTAAGTTGTATATTGAATGTAAATGATTGAAAAGCAGAGTGATTCAAAAAGGAATAATTTACTGTCATTGCAGAGGTTCCAGTGCGGGTTATGTTGTGATATGTATTTCACTGCAAGAAGACAGTGTATGAGCCATTTGACAGAACAGCATAGCGGCATTTCATTCAAATGTAATATTTGTAAAACGATATTCCGGAGAAATGATAATCCACACAACTGTAGGGCAAGAAAGGATGATTTTTTTATTTAATCAAATGAATGGAGATGTTGGAAAAAAGCTGAAAAAGAACTGGATGAATTCATTAAAAAAGCTGAAGTTAAATTTTGTATTGATATGTATCATCAGACATGTACGAGAGTTCAAACAAGACCCGCAAAGCCGCCAACTATATTACAAAAGGAAATTAATTTAAGTGAAAGTGAAAGCGAAAGTGAAAGTGAGGAAGAGACAGACAGTGAGGAATACTTCATAAACTTTCAGGAGGAGAATTTTTTAAAGGAGGTAGAATTATATAAGATTGATGAGATTGAGAAAATAGAAAAGGATAAGGAGGAAAAGAGTAGAAATGAAAGAAAAGAAGAAGAGATTAAACGTAAGGAGGAAACAAAGAGAAAAGAAGAAGAGATTAAACGTAAGGAGGAAACAAAGAGAAAAGAAGAAGAGATTAAACGTAAGGAGGAAACAAAAAGACAGGAAGAAGAGATTAAACGTAAGGAGGAAACAAAAAGACAGGAAGAAGAGATTAAACGTAAGGAGGAAACAAAAAGAAAGGAAGAAGAGATTAAACGTAAGGAGGAAACAAAAAGAAAGGAAGAAGAGATTAAACATATGGAGGAAACAAAAAGACAGGAAGAAGAGATTAAACGTAAGGAGGAAACAAAAAGACAGGAAGAATAGATTAAGGTTAAAGATGTGACAAACAGAAAGGAAGAAGTAATTAAACGGAAAGAGGAGGAGAAAAGAAAAGAAGAAGTAAGAAAATATAAGGAAAAGGAGAATAAACAAAGGGATGAAAAGAGAAAAGATATAGACAACAAGAAGGGTAAACAAGAGAAGGAGAGTAAAGAAAAAGAGGAAATTTAAAACGGAGAGATGAAAGAACGAATTGAAAAATTAGAGGATGAAGAAATAGAAAAAGTGAAAAGTTTAATAAGTAGGAAAACAGAAAGAGAAAAATGATATACCAAGCAATTTTTGTTTGTTTGTTTGGATTTTACGGCACGTCAACACATAAATGGGCATATCGTGCCGAATGCTATAATAGGCTTGAAATATTATGTAAAACTTTGTAAATGACAATAGAAAGGAACCAATTAGATCCTAGAATACAAGTTTATCTCTTTCAAATAATCAATTATGTTTTTTGATGGAATTGTATTAAAAAGTTCTTTGAGTGAATTTACAGAATAAAATCTATCACGGGCCTGTGAAAAATCATGACATTCAAGAAGAAAATGCTTGACAGTAAAATTTTCATTACAACCTACACAGAAAGGGGCATTGTCATTTGTAAGGAGATAAGAATGGGTATTTTTAGTGTGTCCAATTCGGCATAGAAGAAGAACTGTTTGATTACGGCGGTTTGACAGAGATAGAGATGGTGACACATCAAGAGATGGATTTATATCGTGAAGTTAATTAAAAACGGCAGTGTCCCAATTTGCTTTCCATTCAGATGATACGAGTTTATTTATAGCCGGTCTAAAATCACAAGCAGGTAACAATAAGTCAGTTTTTTGAAAATTTAATGATTGTTTAGCTAAAGCATCTACTTTTTCATTTCCTCGTATTCCTACATGAAACATTAGTGTAAATAATGAAAACTTTTATAAACATTGGACAAAATAATGATTATTATATATATATTCTTTTATGTTGACATTAACGTTATTTTTTAATATGTTTTACCTTACAATATCATATATTTAACTATTGATAGCAAATTCATTATTGTAGGGTATATTTAATAATGTACTATGGACAGTATTACAAAAATATATAAATATTCATGTAAAATAATTATTAATAACATTTGATTTCAATATTGAATATGTAATACTGTTATATTTATATATGTTAATTTAAGGTGTTGCTAATAACAATAATAATATTTATAATCTTACCACAGTTAAGAATAGGGACAATTCTTTTGAAAGGTTGGGGTAGTGCTAGACTGTTCCCCACCCACTCCGTTTCATTGACCGCATTTGTTTACCATGCTGATACGATATTCAGCGATAACATTTAAACATAACTTTATTGTCTCATCTTTAAATTAACTTACATTTTTATCCTGCCATGATTAATTGTTTATTATATATTTGTCACTTTTCTTCATAATCAAATATTGTCTGAAATTAATCCGCCATTTTGTTAACTATAATTATAATGTGACGTCACATTAACCCAGTTTTTACGGGAAATCCTTTTTATATGTACACAAAAGAAGCATATATATAGACCGAATTTCAATTAAAGGTTCATAACGGAAAAGATAACGGGAAAGATAACGTAAAATATAACTGAAATTGATAACAGAAAGATAAAAGCTATAAATCGAATAACAGTCTTAGAAATGAAAGATAAAGATATTAAGGTATTTTAAGTAATATTTATTGTATTCATTACATGTATTTGTTTATAACATGTATATGTTCATCATTGACTCTCAAATAAATTTAGTATTTGAGTGATATAAAAAAATTAAAAGAATTATTTAATTTTACAAATTTGTTGTGACTATTGTTATAATCCTGACTCGGAACCGGCCTGACAGATCTAACCGGAACAAATCGGTACACATTGGTTAGCCGAAATGTTTTGCTTTGAAATGCTTCAAAAAGGGCGGACAATTTGGGTTTGTAAATAAATCTAGTGCAGTAGATTTATGTTTTCTGAAAGTTATCTTCATCTAAAGTAGCAACACCTAAAATTGCAAAAGTAAAACTTAGATATTTGCAATGAAACGTTGTGTAGCTTATTGTTTTGTGAAGGTTTAACTCTGTCATGTTTCGGAAAATAGTAATGGTAAAATATAGATACAATATCAATTAGTCCGTTTTTTAGGATGGTATGTTCGGCAAACAATTCTTAGCACATTTTGTTGTAGAAACAAATTAGTCATTAACAGTCAGGGTCATTGGTACAGCTCAGTCATTTCAAGATAAATATGATTAGTTCGCATAGAATAAGTTTTCCCAGGCATGCTTGATCCAAATATGGCAAAGTAGCGCAGCCTTTAAGAGGTCGCACGAACTAAACGTTTCACTTTTAGCCCTTCAGCATCTCCATTGTAAAATATCAGACTTAATGAATGCACGGGGGATCACGTGACTTTGTATAGTAATACAAACGAGTAACTTCTGAGCCTCGGTAAGTTCATTATTTGAGAAACGTTTCCTAAATCCAAAATAGCCCTTGCCTATCATATACAGGGCATCTTTCTTTAAATAAAAATACCAAGTGCATTGTTCTACGTTTTATGATTTCCTAGAACATTGTTTGAATTGTGTGAAAATTGCAAATTCAGCTAAAGTACGGTATAATTTTGAACCAAAATGAATGAAAATAAGCTTTTTTCCTTCATTAAAAAAAACAAAACCAAGCATAATATTGACATCTTTTATTGTAGAAGTCCATAAAAAATCTTGCTGAAAGATCTGTACAGTATAAAAGGTCTTTAAATATTTCTTGTCCCAGATGTAATTCGAAATCAATAAAAGGTCACTGTTTCAAAGACTTTAATTAGTATGTACTGTCCATATACTCAATGAACTCAGCTCTGTCAATGCAGCCTAAAATAGACAACAAATAAAGCATGTGTACAATACAACATGAACCAAGTTGCCTACTACAAATAAAGGCGGCGGGAAAATATCCTCGTAAAAAAACATTTTCTCATTTTAGATAAATATATATTTATATGTACATAAATAAAAATATAATATCGCTCCAGTTTTATATCAAAGTCAAGTGCCGGACAAAAGAGGAACCTTATTAAACATTAATTCATGTATTTTGCTCCTGGCAATCACTTCAAAAAAGCATTGTTTATTACCTTACCTTAAAGTATGTGTTTGTACCTGTTATCAAATATAAATAACATGGTAAAAGTAAAATAATAACCTGATCCATCTTTATCCGCCTTTTCAAAGCCTTTTTTGAGCGCATTTTTATCTGTAAGACCTTAAAAAACGTCATTTTTGTGAATATTTTTTTTTTTTTAAATAACTGTGGCAGAATTTGAAGAATATGATAAACAAGATCAACAAGGAAAGGTGACGTTCAATGAACGCAAGCCCACACGACCCAGCAATAAGAACGAGAGACAAGGAATCCAGGAGGACCCCAAACAAAGACAGGACAGGGCACAAGGCAGAGCACGGTCACCATTTGGCAAAGCAATTTGGTTTTTTACAAGTTTTTTTACACAAATTGTATTAATTTGTTTTACGTGGACCATTTATTAATTTTGAGGGACTGCAATGCAGAAAGAAACATAACAGTCGATTAATTTATTTATAAAAATATATTTAAATAAATGTACAGTGTGTATGTATTTTATTGATGCATAAGGTTTTTTTAGTATGCAACAAAAATAAATAACTAAAATTGGGTTTTACAAACGTGATAATAACGTTTCTATTTATAATTATTTTACCTGCTAATGCACAAGCTTTCTCCATTTCATCTCTTGACAAGCTACCAGAATGGTCTAAGTCAGCTTTATCAAATATTTCGTCAATAGTTTGCCTGTAACATATTGAAATATAACATATTTCTGATTAAACTGATACTATCAAATATATACGAGTAAGTGACTTCATAAATTGAAACTAGTTTGCATTATTTTTTTCCTTTGAGTTTTTTTCGGTGCCTATTATTAAGTGTCATTTTATAAATATCTGGAAAAACTGATCCATCAGAAGCATTAAAACAGCAAAATTACATAAAAATTGTAGATTCGGTTTGATCGAGTCTGTACATGAGGAATAATGAAAAATGCAACATCCCTCATGCCTCCCCTAGCACCGACTTGATCTGTACTCAATTTTCTACTCTTAAAAGTGCTGGAATCAATGGAACCATCAAAAAATGCAAAAACCGTATGTTTCTTTTTTCGTACGGTATTACATTTTCCTAGGCATGTAAATGTAATTGCCGATTTTGTGAAAGTGATTTGTTGAAGGTTAAATTTGACCAGTGCAACTTATTCAAAGTTATATATATCTTAATATTAAAATACAAAAAGTAAGATTAACACAGTTTAGAGCCTGGCCAGACTGAACGGAAATCTCTTTACTTTTGGCAAGACTAACAAGAACCGGTTGAACCGGTGATGCTCTCCGAATAGGTTTTGGACACAGAAAAGTATACCTCTTGTAGTTTCAGAGTAATGTCCCGGACAAACTTCAAAGTGCAATAATTCCAAACTTAGACAAGGCAGAATTACGGTTTTTGTGCACTGCACGTCTACCCAATAATATCTACCATGAGATCTATCTACCTACAAAGTTCCATGTTGATATCTCAAATACATAGAGGATATTTGTTTGTTTGTGTGTAAGATGAAATTTTATTTCATCGAGTGGGCTTTAAAAACAGTATTCTCACGAGTGGCGTAGCCACGAGTGAGAATACTGTTTTTAAAGTTCACGAGATGAAATAAAATTACATCTTACACAACAAACAGACAAATTTTCTTTTTATTTTATGCTTAAAAACAAGTTTAAACGAAATTTCCATAATTTTAATGTTAATATTAAAATCTGTTTCCCCCATTGAGAGCCACATTTAGACGGAATTTCTCATTTAAAACAAGAAGTCTTGAGCTGAAAAATAAGTCCGCTAATCAAGGTTAAATGACGGTGATATTTATTCATTTTATTAAAAAAATATGAATGATCCCTTGTTTTAATAATAAAAACAAACAATTCTTGTAGGAGAAAAAGTCCAACCATCCATCCATATTTCTGTTACTTACTGCGAATTTATATTAGACCTGGCTTTGTAAAATGTAAGCGGCAGCCATTTTTTAAAGTTGTGTATTTCATGGGAGGAAAATAATTGTGTAAGATTCAGAAGGATATAATTTGGATTTGTTAGTCATACACCTTTTTAAAAGAAAGAAAACTTATTTGAGGATTGTAACAGACAAAAAATAAGTGTTGACAGAGGTGAAAACATTCAGAAAAGGAGCTAGGAAAATGGAAAATAAGGAACGCTGGGTTATTTTACTTATTTTACGAGTGATGGCTGTCAATGCTTTTTAATTTTTCATAAAGCATACGGCAGTTATTGCTCGTAGGATACTTTAATATGCCCAAATGTCATCAAGAGCAGTTTTGCATGGGGAAGGAATGTATTTTTCAGACTGTAAAAACGAAACAAAAAAATTTAGAGACGAAATTTGCTGATTGGAATTTGAAGGAATAGAAGTAAGTTTTCTCTCTTTATTACTTTTGACATTTAAGTTATTTATCTATTTCAGCTTTGCTATTTCTTTTAACAGCCTGACATTGTCAGAATTGTCAGTAAAAATAAAATTGGGGTACCACATGGGGAAAATCTTAAAAAAGTAGTTTCGTCATTGAAAAAAAGTGAAATTATATTTTGATAATTTTCACTGTGAAATTATCAAATATAATTTTCACGGATAAATCAGTAATCCACTGAAAAGCATAAAATAAATGTAGTTTAACAGTTATGTCCCGGACAAAGTTCAAAGTGAAAATATGAACAAACGGCAATAACTCCAAAATTAGGCAAGGTGGAGTTATGTGTCTTTGCACTGCACTTCTTTCCAATGATATCTATCAACCTACTAGTTACATGTTGATACCTCTTGTTGTTACAGAGTCATATCCCAGACAAGAAAAGCGGACGGAAAACCGGGCGGACGGACGTACTGACGTAGACTTTGATCTTTTAAGCTATTTTTAGTCACACAATGCTTAAAACTGACACACAAGTAAAAACGGAATGAATAGGATCAAAGAGAATTTACTGTAACCTATTGTTCTCCATGTCACAAAAGTACCTCTGGGTTTGTACGGACAACCAGACGGACGGACAATGCGGCGACTATATCCTCATCCTTTGGGGAGCATAAAAATATTTGGTTCCAGTAGCAAGTTGATTTTTTACCTTCTTGGTACTTTACACACTTCGTTTATAAACTCTTCATATGTAATTACTTTGTCACAATCTTTGTCAATGTCAGCAAACCATTTCTAAAATACATTAAATATGCCACGTTATGTAATATATAATGAAATGATAAGCAAGAGCAATTATCAAGAAAGCAAAACAAAGGAAAGTATCTGTTTATACAAGTGGTTATAAATAAAACAGCATCTCTTACGTTATTTGTAAGAGCTACATTTAATACTGAAACTATCATTTTACTTTTTTTGCAGTTTGCTCGGATATCTCAGAACGGTAAGCTTTAAATTTGAATTCGAGTATTCGTATACTTGGCGAAGTATGTAGTTTATTTTGACCATAGTTGATACGATAGACGACAATATTCCTGATGCCATTCGTCTAAGTTCAATCTACACGATCAGCAGTTTTGTAGCTCATGAAACATGCGGAAAAATCGGCTTTAATATAGTTCAACACTAAACATGGCATTTTGATACATGGGACAAACTGTATGGATGTGTAAATATAGGATAAACCAACACTTTACCTACCACTCAACACCTGTAAAAAGAAGAAAACATTCACGAACGCGAGCGCGCACAATCACAACGCACGCATACACTTGCATGCATGCAAAGAAAGAGAAAAACAATACAAAAATACACGATACCATCACTTCTTTTTCGTTGAAGCCTTCCAGTACCATGGCGGAAACAAGTTCTCTTGGTTGAAGTTTCCCATCGCCGGTCTTGTCAAGAGAAGTAAAGAATTGTTGACATTCTTTCCTAGATGGAACTTTGGACATGCTTTTCGAATATAAAGAATATAATTGATAATGAAGAAATAACTGTTGATGATACAATATAAAACTAACAAATGATAAAAATACTGCCTTACTCATTTTAAGAATTGAGCGTTGCCGATACATTCTGAAAGATATTTATAGACATTTCAGTTGGCCATGCGGATTATTTTAATCAAAATGTAGACAAATAACTTTACAATCCACAGACAGAGAATATTTAATACTTTATAAACTATAAATGATCATCTTTTCTTCCTGTGATAAACTGGCTATGAATTCAATGTCCCAACGGTGGTGGAGGTTTTTGTACATTATAGTTTACCATCCGGATCACGGCAGTAAGTCTATGTTTAATTCAATAAAACTTATATTTTTAAATACGATAATTTAACAATGTTTTAAGATTTAATAAAATTTTGCTTACTTGTATAAAGGATGTTTATGACCTATTTCGTCGCACATTAACTATTAAGATAAACACTTTAAGTGAATTCCTACTTTCTTTTTAACTGGAATTATAGACAGAATAAAAATGAAAACAACTGAATGTTTGCCCGGTGAGATGAACTGACGGGCGATCAGATACATAACATAGATGACATTGTACAACGATTTTTTTCTTGGTCGTATGGAGATAATGAAACAGAAAAAAATGTTTAATTATAAAATTAATTCAAAATATAATAAATAAATTATTTAAAAAAAATAACATTACATGAGCAAGTAAGAAATCCTCCAAACAGTTCTATCCAATGTTCTAGCAAATATAGAGAATATGTTTCGTGATATTCCAAATATATTATGGTAGAATAGCTTATATATCCAGCTTTTTCGATAGTCGATACGTATTTGGCAACCATTAGCAACCTTTATTTTGGAAATATCGTTAATATCATTGTCTATAATTAATTTTGGATGATAGCTGTTCTATGGCTCAGAGGGAATTGAAATATTCGACCTTTTTCGCGTTAGTATGCATGATAATCGGACAGATATAAAAAGCCTCCGAGGATTTGAATGTTTCTGTAACATTTCGGAGAGCTATTGAAACACACCGCTTGACGCCAACCTTCATAAAATGATGGAATTTATATCCTCTCACCTAATTAGCATGTCATGCCGCCAATGACATAAACTCGGATATGAAACCCATGAAACAGTATTCTGGTGTGACTTGGAGCGCATGTTTTAAAGGATTTGGCGTTAAATGGGTAATTCACTTACCGATGCTCAAAACGAAACAATTATCTCACATATACATAAATATATACAAAAAACAAAAAGATTTGATATATAATAATATCCGTTTAAAAAGAAAAAGATCCTTCAACTCCATTAGTAAAGTGACTTTCTTTCTTTCTCTTGTTTCCTATCTCTTCTTCTTTTTTCATATTACTTCTCCTTCAATGCGCATGTTTTAATAAATAAATTTTCTCAACATATTATTAGTTTAATAGACCAACCACTAAACTAAGCAATATATTTCTTTAAAAATGAATTCATACTCGTGCTAATACATCTAATCTAACAGAAATGTATCTTAAATTTAGTTCATGAATAATTGACTTAAACATAGTATGTATAGTAAGAAAGCAAGAACAAGTCGATGTGATATGTATAGTTTAGTTTAGATATTTATATTTTTGTTACCATTTTTTTGAAATTTGTTAAATACTGATTACGGAGAGAGTTTTCAAAAAAGCTTTACAAGCTTCCTGCTCAATCCGTAAATTTTATCTTATGTACTTTATTATGTAAATGTGTGGATTATAAATAAAATATTGTTTAAACTAAATGGATAAGCAAACAAATTAGTTCATGCCTAAGCTACACAATATATCAAGGCAAATAACTAAGCTCTAACTTTTGCCGTTTCAGGGGAAGAGTATTACTGTGTGATAACTGTCAAAAAACACGCAATCTACTTGCACTATATCTATTTAAGATATATTTACATTCCCAAATTGTCCGCCCTTTTTGAAGTATCGGAAACCCTATCTATTCACTTTATTAAAGTGTGCCGGGCCGATTAGTTCCAGTAAGTCTCGAAAGGCACGAAAATAGTACGCCGTTGTATTATTTTAACCTAATATCTTAAATGAACATTAGCAGTAATTGTTGTAATAATAAATATCGGTATCTTCTGAGCCGCAAATAGACTACAATTCCTCGCTTATTCAGGCCAGTAACTGGTTCCCGATCATAAACATTTCGTTTTTTATACCAAAATGTTCGAATCTCGATCTTTAGACGTTTTCACAACTGATCTTAAGTTATTTCTTAAGTTAAAACATAAGTTGAAATAAATCTTAGCTAAGAAATTTTTCCGAACAAGAGTGCGTCTTGTTGATGGAGATACTGGGTTAGGTTCCGGAGTTAAATCCAAAACTCACCAAATATCAGTATCTGATACATAAATTTACAAATGGTTAGTAATTTTAAGCTGTAACTTGGTCAATTCCCAGCAGTGACATACGTATATATACCATGTATACGTCTTATTCAGTCGTGTGCCCTACATTCGTCCATGTCTTTACTGTGTATTACACAAAGTAACAAGGATAAAAGAAAAACAATTGGATATTTTTAAACCTCAAAGTAAATTTAAATTGAACAATATTATGTTTTCCCCGGTATGTCTGAATACTGTTTTCCCTTATCTTTCAAAAAGTTTGCTTATGAATATTCTTAAAAACCTTTTTTTTTTGTCAAAAAGAGAGCAAAATGAAGGTTTTCTTTTACCCCTTATGCATTCAGTACTATCACTTAATTTTAAATTTCCAAAATGCCTTTATATGGATTATTAATCTTTTATTCTCAAATTAATATTATGTTGAAGGTATTCTAAAATATTCTCTTTGATGGTTACATATATGTGCTCTAACTGAGTGATTTAAGTGTGGAATAAATGATGAAAACATCTCAAGTTCAGGGTTCACATTGTATTTTCAATGAGGAAATAAAAAAATCACTGCATTTAAATACAAAGAACAGAAAATAACTAACAAACAGAATATAAATTATGCAAAGAATATAGCTTTTTCATTTCAATAGAATTCAAACATATATATAATTAAC